TTGTTTGTTTTTTTAATGTCGATTTTTCTCCCTTCTCAAGCTACTCAATTTAGTTAGTTTAACCAACAGTGGAAATTACTTGATTGAGGCAACAGGATGCAAATCCTCCCAAGGCATTTAGCTTTTCCAGAGAGACCAAAAGCCAAGCTTACAAGTTGGCTCTGCTCATCTCATAACGATAAAGGCTTGGGAGTGTGACTGCCTCTTCCATTTTAAGAAACAGAAAGGCACTGAGGATGACACCAGAGTTTTCCTTAAAGAAGTAGACACCTGACAAAGAGGAAAGAGTTGTAAAGTATTTCCAAACACACAATTCCCACTAGAATCTCTCTCTGCAGAAAGATGCTTCAGTGGATCTCAGGCATTTGGGGGTGTGAGGAAGATGGATTAATGAATATGGTGAAGTCACCCCAAAGCAGTGTCCAACCTGTAGAACTCGAATCTACACTTTGCATTATGACCTGCCAACTTTTTTAGTTTGGAAAAGAAAGTTCCTATTTGGTGGTCTCCTTCCTCCCCATGGTGAAAGGGTAGCATGTTGGATTATGAGAAAGATCAGCACTAGGATGAAGTTCAAACTTATGCTTGGGAAAGGTTGCAGACAAGCTGGCATCAACCTCAATGTGATTACTTATTTACTTTTAAATTTTATTTATTTCACTTTTTTAGTTTACTGAATTTACTGAATTGAACTTTTAAAGAAGAAATTTGTTTTAACCTTTTCCAACCCATCACTTTCCTATGGCATTTAGGACCACTCAGGGGGACACTGATCCATAACTCAGGAGGACCAATGGGACTGTGGACTTAAAACATCAGAGCAGAGTTTAACTTTTCTCTGAGGGGGAAGGAGCTTGATTTGATGTCAGAAAAGACTTTTCCAGGTCACTCAGCACGTGGCTTTACCTCTGATGGTATATGTGGAGTGCCTGACTTTTCCCTCCTCATTCCCTGGAGGCACATGCTGAGATGACAAGGGGCAAGACAAACAGGATTCCCAAAGACCCCAGAATGGCTGTGGATTCCACACTGGGAGGGCAAACCCTCTAAAACAAACTCCTCTATTTCCTCTAGAGGCAGGAGGACCTATGTTATGTCTGTCTCTTAAGTAAATCACTTAGCCCCTGGAGCCTGGTTTCCTCATTTACAAATGGAGACTAACAACCCTTCTTTAACAATTGCACAGGATTGATTTTCCTGAGAATCCTCCCAAGGCTACTCATTCTCATCCATCAGGCCTTCCACTTCCAGTTGCCTTCCTAGGTGAGCTTTCCTGAACTAGCCTCCACCTCTCCAGTTCTAGTCCTCACTTTCATATCTCCAGGTTCCCCTGGACCCAGCATTGGGTACTGTGTGAAACAAACTCATATCTTGAGTGTGTCTCCCCCACTAGGAATTCACACATTCGAGCAGGGCCTTGGTCTGTGAAATCCATGGGCCACCTCAGCTCCAAGCCAGTTCTGTTCACTGCTGCCTGCCAGGTAACAGCCAGTGCCCAGCACATGGGCCTCAAGTAGATTTGTCAAATGGATTGAGATCAAATGAGCGAATGTGTATGAAAAGCCTTTTGAAGCTATAAACCATGATACAGACACACGTCAGATAATACCACACTTCACCTTAAATGTATCTGTCCAGTCCCTCTGTTTTCTGACATTTTCTATATTATCATTACTGTTAGTCTACCAAGGACATTAAATAGCCTGTTTGCCAAAATGGAGTCATACTTTATGTGGGGGTCAATGAAGAAAGCATCTCCTTAAATGCTATGGTGACTAAGTTTCTCATACATTTTAAGCAAGTCAGCCAGGCTTTAGGGCACTCTGGTGACCGATGGTCTCATATTCCACACTGACTGACAATGGGATCCTACAGGCCTTTAAGTTGTTTCATCATCTAAATTTAGAGCCCATGCTGCATATTATAACACATTTAGGGAACTCCAGTTGATTCACTGGGTCCCTCCTAACAGCTAGGCAAGGGTTATTAATGTCATGCAGAATTTGCCCTCCACTCATACTTTTTTTTGTGGATTGCTGAGGGACATGTAGGACTTTTTCAGATCACTTTCTCATTTGTAGAGCAAGAGTTGAAAACAGCTCAGGTTATTTCTTATTGGTGCCTTTGTTTCAAAAGCAGAAGTCTGATGGATTGCTTTGACTGTGCTGGAGGGCCATTATCTGGTACACTATTTACCCTGTTTACCTCCTCACTCCACTAAACAGATCCTGAAGGCCCCTCCACTGCTGAAGAGAGGGAGGCAGTTGGAGATATTTTTTGAAAAGTTTTAAAATCAAAGAGAAGGACAAATATGCTTAAAGCTATTCTATTCCACATGGGTGGCAATAACCACCAGCTGTCACCAGGAAACAGCAGATGTAATTGATAAAACAATTCAAAAACTCATGCAGATCCATCATCAATAAAGTTAACACCCAAAAAAGTAAATGAAAGGGTTCCAAGTAGAACTGGATGAGCTCCCTAGGTCTGCCAATAATTAAATCATTGAACTACACACAAGCATCATTTTTTTATGCAGATTACAGAGGAGGATCAGCTGGGTGACTTGCTTTGCTGGGTGAGGATGGCACACCATATGCTGCTTATGAAACTGTCATTAACTGAGGTATCACTGATGAATGGGGGAGCAGGGCCAGAAGGGCAAGGGAGAAGACAGACCCTCATTATTTGGAAGTATATAACATTTATCCATAATATGGAAAGGGTGGAATTTCTACCCTGATGCAGCAGGGAATAGATAATATTATTCATTACTACAGTTTAGCATTAAATGTGCAACACCTACTCTAATTTATTGATGGGCTGTTTAAGACGGGTGTTAACCTGTTTGTCTTGTATTATAATTGAATTCAGTCTCTAGGCTACAGAAATTTGAGAAGTTCATCCTTTCTCAATCAATATGCTCCCCTTCAGTGACCCATTTCAAGACAGCTTCATAAAAAATAATGTATTTTGTTTTAATAAATTTAAACACTATGACAGCTGCTCAATTTTTATTGGTTGTTTTTTTTCCCCTTCAGATGTCTCTTTGCTGCCGAGTGAAGCCAAGCTCACAATCAATAGTAATTGATTAATCAGCATCCCCTTTGAACAAAGGTGCTAATCAGTTTTTGATTAGTTCATCAAACCAGATGCAAAGGCAGCCCGGCCCCAGCCTGCTAGTTCATCAGTGCTGTACATGACTTACTGCTCCTGAGCAATATGACTGTGGTGTTCCTGGAGGGTGTGGGGGAGGGGGACAACATAATTATTAATTTAACTGAATTATTATGAACACAAACAGTTGTTGGTTTATTGCTCCTGACTTGGGTGATTGATAGAACTGCAGCAGAGACCCATCTGACTTGGTGCAGGGATGAGGCTTGGAGTATTCCTAATTGATGATGCTAGAAGAAGGGGTGGGTAGCTGGTTTAGACCCGTTTTCCTAAAGAGGAGAAAACTTACTTTTGCCTATCCTAGTAATCCTTGTCTGGCTCATATGCCATGAGGGATCAGGGCCAACCTATGAGAACTCCTGTCTTAGAATCCTTGAGAAGCTCCAATTTCTAAGACCACTGTGTCAGAGTTGTTTTATTTCGGGTCAGTATCAGAATGGAGACCATCTACAACCAGGAATGCAAGCAGAAATTGCTTACTTCTGGCATCACATTTTAAGCAGGAAGAAGGACTTAACTCTTATTTTAAAAGAAAATTAGGTTAATGTTTTCATAACTTCTCTAAATACAACACAAATAAGAGGCAAACAAAAACTATTGATGGGCTGGCTATCTTTCTCATCTTCTATTTATTTATCTAAATTCACTGGGATTCAGATTTCACTCATTCATCCAACAAGGATCAGCTGGTGCTTACTATAGGATAGGTGTACAGCAGTGAGCAAAACCAGCGTGGTCTCCTGGAAGTTTTCACTCTGGAACAATTTAACAGCTAAGTGCACACTGGCACATGGCACATAACAGAAAAATAAAAGTATGCACAGCGGGCACTACTTCTATTGCTTTTGAAAAAACTGAGCAGTACTATCTTGTTTTCACACTGGGTGAAACTTATAGTTGGGACTGGACCTCAATAAGCTGCTGTTCAAGGGAGCTGCAGTGGAACTCTTTGGGAAGAGGTGATGTGGAACCTTTTTTTCCGACAGACCGGAGTGAGCGTGCACACCCTATGCCTTAGTTTCTCTGTTGTGATGACAAGGAAGGATTTGCTTACTGATTTACCAAGTGACTGATCAAAATGTCCAAGAAGCTGTAGCTGGTTGGCAGTGAAGTCTCACAACATCATGGGAGCTCAAATAATTGTTTAGCTCTGACCACTTTAAATCTCCTCCCTCCCTCCTTTTTAGGATATGCTTCTTATTCTGGATTAGTAACACCTAAATCCTGGAATCAAGCATGAAACCTACTTTTGCAAGAGCTCAGTGTGCTGTGAAAAAGGTCTGAGGTGGATAATTAGCTTACATCATGGTGTGTGACAAAACAATTGTCCCCCCCTTCTTGCCTGCCCTTCCCTACCCCCTACTTCTAAGATAACTATGTCATGGCTTTTCAAGTCTATTCCACAGAAGTAGACAGTCAATATGAGTTTAAGATCTTGTCACATAATCCAACATCCTTAAACTGCTTTGTAATGCAACAAAATTTCTCCTAAACCATTCTATATCTAGGACATAAACATTATTTTAAGCCACTGAACACAGAGTGGCTTTGGGACAATCCCAAAGATAATTTGACCTCCACTGCATTAAAAGGACTGGCCTTGATCTGAAGTATAAATATTATTACTACCACAGGGAAGAGAGATGGGTAGATGAGTGGGGAGGGGAGGAAGAAAGTGTTGATAAAAATTTGTTCTTTTATTAGTATCAAAATCCATACTTGCCAATTGATTGCTCTGCAAACCAATGGCCATTTTGTAGAGAAGTGGACAGACTGTCCACAGGTTGGACACTGCAGTGCCTTACCTAATGACTAGCCCTTACCTGAGAGATCCTCACTGTCCAGTTCTTCTGCGGAATTGGGCAACTGAGTAAGGCCTTACAAGTAAAAACAAATCGTTTTTCTTTTCGTTCCTCGAGGGACATAAACAAAACACTTAAGAACTGAGGATGAATTTTTTAAAAAACATGAGCCAAATCTCTTGCTATCTCTCGCTTTTTTTGGATAGCTTCACTGTATTAATCCATAAATTCATGTCTTCAATCATGTAATTTTGTTATTGATACACAATCGAGGCAGAAAGATTCCTCAGTCTCCACTGTTCAAAGCACATGAAACATGAAGGTGAATGTTTAAAATCACTCATTCATAACAGCATGCAAAAAGAAAAAAAAAGAAAGCTTGATTGTTAGCTGTTGATGCTCTGAGACATCTCTTAAATACAAATGTATTTAGATGTTACATACTGATGTATGTAAGTTGTATTTCACGTTTTACTGTAAATTGAAATCCTTTGCCAATACTGACAAACACAGTTCATTATCAATTTATGATGATCTTGGATCACATATCTCAAAATGGTACAGCATCTGCTAACTGCAGATTGCAGGTTATGCCTTCATCAGAAAATCTGATGTGCAAAATTATTTTTTTTAAAAAAGAGAATTTCATAAATCAATGGTATTCCTGAAAAATAAAACCCTCAAAGCTGAAAAAGCAGTTAGGTCAGGAGGTAATCAAGTAGGGGCTTGAAATGCCTAAATCAGGGTCAACCCTGATGTTGGCTAGAGGAGGATGGTTCTCAGCAAGCTCTGATTTGAATTAAAGGAGGTGAAGAGGGAAGTAGGTAAACAAGGGGCAGCTCAGCTAGGAGATGGCTGCCATTTCCTCCTGCTTTGTATGGGGCCGGTCTTTTAATGAAGTTTTTAAAGCCACACCAAAGGCTCCACAGTCAAGGCGGCCTTGCCTTGTTTGTTGCTCTCCTCCAAGTCCAGGAACTGGAATTCCCACAAAGGTTTATGTATGCTGCTCTAATGGAACTGCCACTTCTGAGGATGCCTGTGAACCTATACAGCTGCAGAGTGATTGGTGACAGATGCAAGTCTTATTTAGTGTTGCATCTTTCTCTTCTTTCGTATGGCCAAGCACAAAGTGTACTCTCAGTATTTGCTAAATTAATGATTTGGGAGTAATCCTCAGTGAGACACCAACCAGAGCCTAAAAAGCAACCAAAACAAATGCTCTGGAACCAAAATATACTGATTGCCCTATTTGAAAAAACCCAAATTAACCAAAATGATCCTGGACAAATGGTCACTAAAGCCTGGGTTTATAAAGAAGCCAAGTGAATATTGATAGCCAGGTTGGTTCTGTGAGTGAAGGCTGTCACATCATCAGCCTGAGGAAGAATTTCCCTCATGACTCCTCATGCCAAAACACAGGTGCCCAATCAAAATGAGAGGATTTCGAGTCCACAGGTGTCCTCGAACTATAGATTTAGGCAACTAAAGGGAAAACATGAGTAATGCAATAAATTATAGAGGCAACTGAGTAGAGATGCTGCCCATTTGTTCTGAAATCTGATTGGTTGAAAGCATTCCTATTTCTAATTGGCTTTATCCATTGTATAAAGACTGATGAATACAATTATTTGAATAACTGTTATAAATGGGCAACATAAAGTACCTCTCTGTTGTTAATTATGAATTTGAAGTTCTCAGAAGGTTAATCCCTCACTTCTGTGTGGCCCAATGAATATCAAAGTGTTCTACATACGTGCTTGGTGCCCACTGAACCACATTAAACAAGGATGTTTCAAGCAGGCAGCTTTACTGATGGAAGCTTGTTTCCTTGGGGAGGGCAATAGAAAGCTAATTTTAAAAAATAAAGACAAACATGTTTATGAAATATCGATATGCAAAGTTTTCCATTAAGAAGCATCAGACAGTTGATATACACCTCATTAAAGCTGAAACTGTCATTTTTAATGGCATAAACTTTAAAATATACCAATTCATCTGGAATCCACGGCTCAGATTATGTTCCAAAGTGAGAAGCCATTTAGGCTAGTGGCGTTAAATTTGTTTTTTGCAGTACTATTGTCTTTTATGAATCTACAGCACTCTGCCATAGTTGGATAATTTCTGAATAAATACAATTAGGAAGAGTTTACTGAAGCACTGAGTGTACAAGTGAGGACAAGCAAAATTTACTTCCTAAAATTGCATTGGCTTAGGTATTTTTCTTTCATGTTAAAAATTATACACCTCTCATTTTCTCAAAGAAAAAGACAAAGATGCATTTTATGAAGCAGAGATTACTCTTCAAAAGGCAACTTCATGATTTAACAATAAGTGGGAAATTACTTCTTGATTTTTGTTTTTTAAACTTTCATATCACCTATTAAAGCCCTTCCTCATCAATTCTAATTAAAATGCATTCAACAAATTTCTTTACATTTTGTTAAACAAATGAAAGTTTACTTTTTGTCCATACGGGATTTTTCTGAGCAATTAAGAAAACCCTAAGGTACAAATGTGCTAATTCAATATATGCACAATGATCGTCTCTTTTGCAGAGACGTGTGTTTTGATTTTTGCTTTTTCTTTGGGTTCCAACATGCTGTGACATACCCTATGCCTTTTCAGGGCTTCTGTGGTTATAATTCCTCTTTTTCAACCATCACTGCTGACTTCTCAATGTGGTATGATGTGGCAATTTTAAACCAGGGGAAAGAAGCCTCAAAAAATTAGAAACAATAAGAAGTACCAGACATTTAAGTGAACTCAAGGTCATAGTAAAATTTAAATGCTTCTGGGTTCTGTTCATCAGGGTATCATTTGTTTTAGTAAACTTCAAAAAAGAATGGTCAAATAAAACTTAGGAAACAGAACAGCCCACTGGCCCTGGTACCATTCCCATTATGAAAAACAAAAGTAGGCGACGGCTCTCTCTTACCTAAGCGGCACGCATCTGATCACTTGGCCATATTATGGAAACTGTTACTTCCATCACCAGCCTTAAGAGTTCAGACGCCCCCGGTAGTTTTAATCTAAAAGCTCAGTCATCCTGTTCTTCCTGCTTTGTCAGCTTTTGTGGAGAGTTTTTCCCTTCTTCCCATTAGCAGAAATTTGGTTCACGCCGTTAAACAGTAGCACATTGTTTCCAAACTGCATATCAAGGCTGAAACGCAATCTTCAGGTCCTGCAGCCATTCGTAAACCTCTTTAGCTTTGTTCTTGGGTAGAACATACAATGTCTGCAGAGTCCCTTGACTGAATGACAGCCTTTGAATGCCATTGTTATGTACGCATACAGAGAGATGTACATAGAGGTACATACACAGATGGTGGACATAGCGGTTGTAATAATGCGCACTGCTGGCTATTTTTCTTTAAAACGGGCTTAAGGATTTCCCCACAATTGAATGTAAAGTAAGATGAGGAAATTTTATGTGCTTTTAGAATTCTGCACCACTCATGAAATAGTCAGGGAAAGGGAGATTCTGGGGCAGCAACCTAAGGGCAGCAGTCTAGGGGGCGAGCATGTGTTTAGTACTGGCCAAACATTGTGAAACCCAAACTGAAAATGAAAAATTATTCTTCAGAGGGGTTCCCAGTTACAGACTGAATTAAGATCTATTTAAAAACTCATCTGGGATATGAAAATTCATGAGATCATCAGCCTCTACTGTATCAAGAGGTAGAAAGGCAAGAGGGCAGGTAGACTTGAGAAGAGAGAGAGAGAGAGAGAGAGAGAGAGAGAGAGAGAGAGAGAGAGAGAGAGAGAACCTCAAACCCAAAGGAAGCCAGCTGACTGCAGTGCAGCAAAAGCACAAGCACTATTCCAGACCACGGGCATGCTGTCACCCGACCCCTCACATAGGGGAGGAGGGGGGGCAAGGGAGAGGGGACACACAGAGCAGAAAAAGAACAAGGCACAAGACACAGAGAAGCGCCCACATTTGAACAAACAAACAAAAGCCGTCACACACACCCACACGTCAATAATCATAATAACGACTACACCACCCGTGCGTTGAATCATTCATGCATTTCTGCCGTCAATTTCAGACAGTGTGGTATCAGGATTTGGCAGAGTGTTTTTTTTTTTTTTTTGCATTGCTCAACATGCACACATAACACAGGATTCTTCCTGTCCAGGCCTGTAAGGATGAGCTCCAAAACACAAATGCTCAAGATCCTTATTCAGAGAAGATCCCTTGTGTCAGCCTAGTCTAAAATCTCATTCTTACACTCATATTTATCGTGACTATCAGATCCTTAAAAACATATTGTGGCTGATTATTGTTTGGTTTTCTTTTTGGAGAAAATCCATTTTGATTTTGAATCATGCCCATGCACTTCTAACCTTCCAATACATGCTTATTCCAATCAGATATTGGTAAGAACAAATGGTCAACATACATCAACAACTAGTATAAACTTCATACATACTCTAGCAACACAAGCTTGAATAAAATATTTTAATGAGTCTTCAAAGGGAAAGTTTTAAAAAATTTCTTTTTCTTTTTATGAGATAAAAGAGAAATATGGAAAGAAATCTAGTATGACAACTTTTAAGACCAGTAAGATGGTCACAGCTGGCTGACCTAATATGTCTTGTCATTTAAGTTGCCAAGTTATCAAACCACTTAACATTTTTCTAGGCCCAGATCACCATTAAGAACATCTCAAGGTTATCATCAGATGAACGTAAGTCAAATGGTTGCTGTACTGAAGAAGTTGGGTTTTAGCCACAGTGTACTAGAATAAAATCATTGGAAATCTGATCCCCTGCTTTCCAATTTTCACCATGTTCTATTATCTTTTTATCCTGACAACTGACTTGGAAGATTCCCCCTCCCAACAGGTAAAATTTTAGATATTACTTTGCTTTTTATTAGAGATTTTGCCATGGGCTAGAAAGTGTGCTGTTCAAAACAGTTGTTGGAGCTCTTTGTGAAAATTCTATGAGGATACTGGCCAAGCTGAAGAATGTATTTATAAATGCATTATACAGGGATCAGCTTGGATTATCTATCACTTCTCTATTCCTTTGCTGTTAAGGAGTCCAATTTAAAGAGAGAGAGAGGAAGAGAGAGAGAGAGAGAGAGAGAGAGAGAGAGAGAGAGTGTGTGTGTGTGTGTGTGGTTCAATAAGGCTGTTCTTTCTATTTCCCCCTAAATCTCACATGCAGTGTTGGTCAATAACATTCTATTGAGGTATCATGGGCTTGAATATTGTCCCCAAGCTAATAAGACAGTGGTTGCTTCTCATAATACACACATATGTCTACTTCTGGCCACAGGAATTCTATAAAGTCCCATTTCAATCATCTCTTTATCATACAACAAAGAGAGATCACTTTCCCTTTTTCTTTAAAGAGGAGGGCCTAATTAAAAACTGAACCCTAAAATCTGGAGCAGGCCCCGAGTTTACTTTTCATTTTTCAGGGCAAGGGACAAATTTCATACTTTAAATATCTTGTCCAGGTCTTTAGGGATGAACCCCCCAAAACACATGAATTTTACTGAAGGAATCTAAAAATACAACTCTGGAGCTTTAGGAAATAAATGATGTCTATTCTTTCAAAGATCATAGAATTCAGGAATCTTATGGTTACATTTGACCCTGTAGTTAATTATAGGAAGCTCAGAACTTAAATTATCTTCAAAAGAATAGAACAAAATCTCTTGAACTACATTAAAATAACCTTAAAGCTCTGAGAATAATCGATAAAAGTCAGGAGGTGCTCAATTAATGATGAAACATACAAATAACTGAGCTTAATGGAGTGCAAAGCCTGAGATGTAGCAAGCACGATGGGGCATCACCTTAGCAAGCACAAGTTTTATACCTAATTGATTTCTCATGATTGTCAATGTACCTGGCCACTTTAACTTATTTTATTAACTTTTTCCTTTGTGTCAATGACAGGAAAGGGCAGAGTGAAGTGGAAGTGGATGGGATCTGTCAATCCATTTCTGAGCTTGCTCAACTCTCTCAGAATTCCTCACTAGGAAGTCCAAACATGAGGGTGAGCTGCCAACTCTGACCATGGGCTGATATCTAAGGACAAAATCTCAAATTTTGTTTTGAGATTTCCAACTGGTAAGTTATCAAATGCAGGTCTTTTTAAGGAAATTGGTTGGGGTAGGAGAGGTTACTCTAAAAGCTGAATTAATACTACAAGGTTGGCTGATCATCTCTTATTATTGAAATAATAAATTTCCACTCTGTACAGTATGCAAAGTGACTGAAGGAGGCCCTTTACCCAACGATTCCCTTGGATTCAATTATTAAAATTCAACTCATTTTAAAACTAACATATTCTCTAAGCACAATCTAGCCAGGGTTAGATTTGAGGTAAGCAATCAAGTAATATACAGATGAAATGATTCTCATTTTCTGATGAGAAAGACACAGGAAAGTTAATAAAATTATCCCAACCCAGTGAGCCACTGGCGAGATGGGGAGACATCTTACTTCCTGATGTCCCTGTCTAAACTTTACTCACTCGTGTTTTAATCCCTTTTTGGTTAAAAACGTTATTTTGCCTGCAAGGCACTCACACAGCAATGACTTTTTATTTTTAAGTGCCAGCTAATGATGTTCAAATTGATGTATAGTATCACTCTTGGCTTGGGGATGTTTTCTGCCAAATGTAAACATAAACTTAAATGAACACACAGAGATTTAGAGTGCATGAAATGGGGTAAGGGTCTGGGGTAAATACATGTAGGAATATAATTAAATTCATAATTTTTCTAAAGAGGATCAATGACCATCCTCATTACCACCTTGTGAATTTAAACAAGAGATATTCCTCCCTGACCTTCAATCTCAACTACTAAACCATACATATGACCCCCTTTGAAATTTACCTGGGACTATGGCCTACAAATGCAGAAAGCAACTGGGCCTATGATTCAGATGTTATGTTGCTAAGGCAAATATTAATGTGTTTAAAGTCCCATGTATTTCAAGATTTGGTGGAGTTTTATAAGCAAGGGGACTACATAAAACTGAAACTCCCGTCATGCCACCAGCCAGTGAGGAGGAGGCCTCATCTCAGATTGCAACCATTGGCTACTGAACTCACAACAAAAATGACAAGACTCGACATCCTTTCAAGCCTTAAGAAGTTATAATATATTTATGATATCAGTCTACTTGGAACATGAGTTCCCTTGAAGACTACATTTCTCTTTTTCCCAGCTTGCCTTGCCTCTCAGCAGCGCTGAGAAAGTAGATAAACAGGAATGTGATACCAACCGTGAACTGCTGGTTCTGTCGTCGCCGTTGTGTCTACAGACGGGAACAGAGGATTGGAGGAAGGGAGGAAACAGGAGGAACAGCATGCAAAAAAAGGGAAAATGGAAAAAAATGGAACAGATAATATATGAGCAAGCTTTCAAAGAACATCGCGTGACAAGCAATAATAAATGAAAAGCAAAAAGCATTTGAAGTGAGTTGCACTGTTTTAAGACATGCCTGGAGCTCAAAGCTGCGAGCCAGTGAGGAAAACAGTAAATTCTTTGGTTCTGGGGGTCTTGCCAGGACACATATATTTGCTCGTCCATAGTCATGGGAACATGCAAAGTGACGAGAAACACCAGTGCAAACTCAGTGGCTGGTAAATGGCTCTTAACGCATCAAGGCTCAAGACTGCGACAGAAAAAGCTCAGTCGGAAGCTGGTTAAACAATGGATTCATACATTCAAACATTGCCTTTGTTTTAACCCAACCCACCCGGGCACTTGGGCTTCTTGACTCCAATCAGGTATCGATGAATCAGTTGCACTTTTAGGATCCTTTCACTGTTTACGCTCAGATGTCTGTAGATGGATATGCAATATACAGGCTCGAGTTTTCAATTCATTCATTGTATTATTTCAGCAGAGCTTAGCTGGAAAGTTCAATTAACTGTGAGGCCATAGAATGAACATGTTCAAGGTTTTCACAGATTAGTTTCCACACACACGCACACAGACACATACAACTAATTCACTCTTCATTCTGCAGCTCTTAATATGTTTCAAGTCAAGAGCAGAGCCTTTCATAAAAAGACACAAGTCTACACAATCTGCCAAATGCCACTTCTAATTTTATGACATTCCAAAAATTTAAGTATTCAGCCATTTTTTTTTTTTTTGCTCACAATTGAGAACCAAGTTCACAGTTGTGAGCTGCTGGGAGTTGTACCCTCATAGCTAGATTAGGAGACAGAGCAATCAGTTTTTTCACTGCTAGGTGCACTTGTTGAGGAAGAAAATATGGCTTGTCTCTTCTTCCTCTTTTATTTCTGATGCTGTTCAACTTTTCTCTTCCTTCTACCAAGCTTTTAGACCTGGCATACTGTAGGGGCTCTTCTTCACAGGATCAAGGAATTTTCTCTTTATTTTTGGCAAGAGGGGAAGTGGGATAAATATCTAACAAAACACATGACGACATTCTTTTTCCAGTCATTTTAACACCACTCTTTTAGCCAATTTCATTTCAATGTGAACCCGCATCTGGCCGAGCTTTCTTTTTCAATTCTTTAACTCTCCCGCATGCTTCTTCTACAATATTCTTCCTGCCAGGAAAGAATGGTGACACTGGGACACAAGCTAGTTATCTCTAGTCAAAAGCTGGTGACTGAAGTGGGGTTGTGGGTGAATGCTAAGAGAAATTCCCTGTCTTTTTCTCTAATGCAGCTATTTAGCTGGTAATTGTTTTCATAAGTTCTGGAGACTCCAAAAGACTTTTGGATTCGACACAGGCAATGTTTAAATGCACTGGAGTTGAACGTAACTTTTTTAGAGGGGAGTCAAATGAGCCTGGAGTTTCAGATTTATTAATAGAACACATGAATTCACACCGGCGTTCCCCTTCAGTTGGCATGCTTTCCTCGGGACCCTATACCATCAAAAATTAGAGCCCTTCTAAGGAGCCAGAATTAACCAGAAGTCTGAGAGCCCAATGCAGCTTAATATAACTGATAGCTGAATCTCTCAAGAATTGAGGAGGGAAAGAAAAACGTAAAATATACCGCATAAGAACACAATACTTACTTATAAGACAAGTCTGTGTGCAAAAAATAGCAGTAAAAAACAATACAGGAAATTGTACAGTTGAAACAACATTCTACACCAGATTCTCACAACAAAGATGATATATCTCCTTAGTTGAAATATCCAAGTCCAGCATTAGTTTGAGACACTTTAAACTTGAGGGGCAAAATCAAATGCACATTTGTACAGAAACACTTAGATGCATGTTAATACATTTTATGGGTAGGCATTGGCTCCTCTCCAAAATAGAGAAAATAAAACAATGAACACTTTGGTCCATTACTTTTGTGGTAGCACTTCTAATATGCTTTATTATTATTATTATTATTATTTTAAAATCAGGTACACATTAGTATGAAATAAAAGAAACAGGGTGGAATTAAAACCTCAGGGTTAGAATCTTTAAACATAATATCTGAGCATTAACCAATGACCCCAATTTACTGTGTTCCTGCATCACAACATTATGTCAGCTTCCTGATGAAATTAAACCAACTGAAGCTAGGCGTAAACTCTGATGTGGGTACTAGAAAATAAATGAAGGCAAGTTCATAGCGCACCTTGCTTTGCCATTCTGGGGATGGGAAATCCATCAATTGCACCCAACAGAGAGGACAAAAGGAATTGAGAAGGAAAAAACACGTTCTAAAACAGTTAAGCAAACACATGTTCAAGTCAAACAACACAGTTCCTGCAACTAGAAATGGTTAACCCATGAACAGCAATGGAGGAGACCGAAGAGGAAACATAGTTGGCTACAAGGTTTAGATCAAGAATGAGGATGCATGTGGGGAGCCAGTTACTCTGGTTCTCTGAAAATATCTGTATATTACCTCAACAGAGACTATTTCAAGGAAAGTTTTTTTTTTTTTTTTGGTATGGGGATTGAACCCAGGAGCACTTAACTACTGAGCCACATCCTCAGCCCTTTTTATTTTTTATTTTGAAACAGGATCTCACTAAATGGTTGAGGCTGGCTTTGAACTCACGATCCTCCTGCCTCGGGCCTCCCCAGCTGCTGAGATTACATGCATGTGCTACCATGCCCAGCGTAAGGAAGAATTCTTTACAAGTGACTTTGTGTTCCCCACAGGAGAACACTATATAGCAGAATTTAACTCTCCTTCCTAATTGCATTATTACTTCATGCAGAAATCATAGACACCCTGTGAGTACAGCTTTGCAAAGCAGGATTTATTAGGGTATCTTAATCACAAGGTGAAGAAATGTGCAAGATCACCCCTCTGAATCAACTTGTGGGTTCATCATTTTGTACAAAATGCAAACAGAATACTTCCAATGTAAGTTATAAATGCTATAATCGGCTTGAAAAATGAGAGTGTCTAATTGCCTTAACAAAGGCTTTTTTAAACCTCATTTTGTTGCTGCCTTAAAAATATAATCTTTGAGCCAGGCCTATAAAAAAATGGTCGCAAAAAGTTAAATTGGACTTATAGCGGTATTGGGTTATGAAATTAAAAGGGCCTAGGTGAGCTATAGTCTCTATTTTAATTTTAATTACAATGAGGGCAGATTTATTATACATTTATTTTATATGGTCAACAAAAAAAAAACAATCCTCTGTTCTTGCAAACCCAGTAAGTGTGTACAGTCTTAATAGTCACTCCCTGGCTGTTTTATGAGTATAATCAAACAAGGTGTCCGAGGAAGGGCCCTGCACTGTTATTTGAAAGACACATATTTTACTAAATATTGACTTCTCTTCTTAGTCTCCTAGTCCTACAGTTGATGCGACCCTGTCTTGAATAAATGAAAGATCACATGTATCTCATGTCACAGTAAGATATTTATAAACTGAAAAAGCTCTGACAATGTGTGAGATTAGAGACACTAGCCATTTAACCAAGTAGCAAGAAATTAAAAAAAAATTACTGCATGAGCGGCAGCTGGGCAATATTTAGTTGAAACAGTCATGTGTAAGCTCCACTGTGGCACATTCTAATCCTTTCATATGGATTCTCTCCAACTTAGAATTGTTCATTGAGTGTGACAGACTGGGGGTTTAAAACTAATCCATAAATTAGTCTGTGGTCTCAAACACAACGGGTGCCATAAATGAAAATGAAAATCCTAGAACAAAATTAAATTCACAACCTTAAATACTTTTTCTTCCCAGATTGATCTGTGTTGCTCCCACTTTACAATGCACACATTCACTGTCGGGCTGTGTTTTGGGGTGTGTGAGAGCAGGATGTACATTAAAAAATGCACAGTGGAATAACTCAGAGAACCCAATCTACTCAGAAGCAGAGCTTAATTGTAAAGAATTTAAATTCTCCCATTTTGATTGTCATAAGCTTAAATGAAAGCATACTAATCAGTCAGACATATTTTAATACACTCTCCCCCAGTTTATTTTCTTAACTAAAGTCAATAAGAAGCCAATGGGTTTTCATTTTCTTAATTGAATTCCCTTCAGTTTGTGTTTTGGAGGTGCTTTAAATCGAGATACCAGGGCACACAAGGAATTCCTCTGACAATTTTATTTCATAGTAGTGTTGTGCTGGCCAACGTCTATTAATACAGGTGTTTCTCTTTCTCTCTCTTCTCTTTTCAACTTATTTGAAATCTATTGAAAGCAAAAATAAATGCTGGAAAATTAAACTTTGAAATTTATTTTCTACTGGTTTCCCATTTAATTTCCTTGCTATCTGTATTTTGCTTTTAGTTAAACTCCCATTTCTTAGGGATGAGAGAAATAGATAGGGACAAAACAAAGCTAAAGGCCCAAACAAGAGAGCCACAGTGAAGCTCTTTTACTTTTTAATGTCATCTACCCTTTTGAGTGAAAAGATTGTGTGACACTGAACAGCAGGAAGGGGAGTTGATTTTTTTTGTGTTTTTGTTTTTTTTTGTTCAGCAATTTCCAAGTTTTGTTAAAAGCTTCTTCAGAATTGTTCACTCTGTGCTGCTGTGCCCCAGAGATCTTTTCATTTGCAAACCAGATGTTCTGCAAAATAATAGGAATCTGTATAGTGGTTTCATTTAACAAGGAAAACAATTCCTATAGCATGGTGTGTGTGAATGCAGGGAGAAAGGGGGGGTTGAGGCAGGGAGACATAGGCCAGAGGAGGAATAAAAGAGGGTGTTGCATGAGGGCAAGAGGGTGAGAAGGAGGAAGTTCTGCAAGTCTAACTAACATCCATCTTGTGCCAGATACAGGAGGGCTGGGTCTTTTCTGCCAAGTCCTTTATTTCCTACTACCAAGATAGCTGCAAGTATCATCTTCTA